AATTTCTCTGTGAAGCCTGCAATCCTAACCTTCCCATTCAAAATTTACACGTGACTTTTATAAGACACAAATGCTTTACTACAACAGAAGGTAATTTTTCAGCTTGAGTTAGCTGACCTGTGAGCACAAAGTAAACAAGCTAAACATAAAACAATGAAATGCCTGTAGTTCAAGGTAGAAACATTTTGTCCCAAAAGAAAAAGCCAGTCATGTACATTGCTGCCAAAAAGGTATAACATAGTTCCTATAAATTAATACCTCCAATTACCAGCTTTATACGCTACTCAAAACCAATTTTTTTTATAAACAATCATGCTGTAGAGCTTCTGAAAGACAGCACTTCTTCTCCCCCTAATCATACCACTGCTTTTTCAACCTAAAGAACACAATGGGGTCTCTTTATAAATACAATCAGCATGCTGAATGTCTTATGAGATGTCACACAGCAAAAAGATATTATTTAGCACCAACCTTTGAAGATAGTTAATGACTACCCATTTGTAAGATGCATTCTTACCTACATCACCAAATAAACAGGGATACTCACCCTTATATCACTTTCCTTCAAAGCAAGTTCGGTACCATCTTTGTACTTCACAGTATAAAGATGAGAAGCATCATCATAACTAGTCACTTGTACTTCATAGTACAGGACACTTCCTGGCCAACGACCCATCACCACCTCACCATCAGCATACTTCCGGTTTGGCATTTTCCAAAACAATACCTAGAAAATAAATGAATTAATAGATATCACAGCTAAGTATTAGGCTTAGATCCTGGAATTTTACCCCAGTCAGCATCAGAAGATTTACTCGATATTTGCAGAATATGCTTTAAGTGACCACCACCCTTGATCCAGGATACTGAGGCACCGAGGAAGTGACAACTGCAACTTAATGTTATGCTTTTAAATGTAAAGCCCTACACAGCACTTTGACAAGAGTCAGATATTAAGCCACTGCCATCTGAAAATAGGTAGCCATAGTAAAAGATATTCACATCACCTGAAGTTCTGACTCAGATCTCAATATATAGAGTGAGGGTATTTTAAAAGTCTTTGGTAAAATGCACATAAACTTACATGCACATACACTTGTATGATGAACATTGGAACTTGGAATAGGAAAAATCAGCAAGTTTTGTTTCAAAGCATTTTAACTTGTTTGCTGTAAATGTGAAGCCACACAAAAGGAGACTGAAACAAATATTTAACTAGCTATTTATACATTACACATTAACTAACCTGCAACAAAAAATGAGGATCTTTGGCAAAAAAACTACTGTTAATACTCATTCAGACCGCCTAGCACAGTAAGGGACAGAACCAAACCAGGCTGTTCCATCAGCTTTAACTGGCATTTCCTAACGCTGCTGCTGCTGCATTTTACATGTGTAGTTCTCTGAGACAGAAGGGAGAAAACAAAAATCTCAACAAAATTGCCCTGAGTGGATTTTATTGCTAGTGTTGCTTCCTGCTTGACAACAGAAGGACTTGGCCATCTCCTTTCCTGTATAACATTTGAAGGAGTGAAAAGATTAAGCTTAATCATTTAATTTCACTGACACTTGCTAATTAGGAAAATGACCACCTACACAATCTAAAGAGTTCTCCACTATGCCTTTAGGCACATGCTCTTCCAGTTCATCCATCTTTTACCCACATTTTCCTGTCCTAGTTTCTTGTTACTTTCTTATTCCTTATGAATTTCAACTCATTCAAGCCTCTGTCCTCCTAGTTTAACCCCCCTCAAATCCACACTCCGTGTGTGATTTCATGAAATACCACGTCCATATTTTCATCCTAAATTCTTCATTCTATCCTTGCCCCCCTTCAATTCCCTAGGGGTTTTCTACCTGTTCTGCCCTTCCTCACTGAACTACTTCCAGTTCCTCCTCACCACCTCTGGACTCCAGGTCCGATCCCAGTGCCACATCATTTTGTTTGGTTTGCTCACCCTGAAGTCAGCTCGGTCAGAGATCCATGCCAACTGCTGCTCATCCCCCAGACTCTCTCAGCTCCAGCTTCTTCCTCCTCTTCCAAACACAAAGCTCTAGACCTGTATACCAAGCCCAGCCACAGCTTTGACCAGATGTCCTAACCTGACCTATACCTTTTTTGCTTCTGTAGCTCCTATACCTCAGCCTATTGTTTCTTCTTTCCATCATGAACACCTCAGGCATCATCTGTAAATTCAGGAGTCCGACCAGGACTCAGCTATACCAGATCCTAGAGCAAAGCTACAAAGAATGGAATCCTTGGTGCTTAACTCCTTTTTAAAAAAGAGAAACACATTTTCACTGTGTTCTGACCAAGGACATGCAATTACTCTTCAAGATAGGATGACCTTCACCTCCTTCAGCCTTGCTCTCCAATGGTGCAGAAGCTAGAAAATGTGGCTGAAGGAGATGAAACTGACAAAGTGTTACATTATTCAGCCTGAGATAGATGTCAGTGATATGGTCTAATAGGTACATTTAAGCACATACTATTTTGTGACTTGAAAGCAATTAAGAGTATTAGTAATGGGAAGATTTTATTTTTCCATTTTTCCTTTAATAATAAAACTGCACAACAAGTCTTAAACACTAAACAAAATGTATTACAAGTTATCCTGTCAAAAAACTACCACTTTCTTCTATACTGGTGTACCACAGTGAGGGAGATCTGCAATCTTCATTCCATATATCCCACTTCAAAAAACCTACGCATTTTAAAGGCAGCCTTCATCTGTTCAGGTAGCAGAAATCACTGCCAGCATAAAAAAAAACCCACAACAGGACGACTTAAAAATAATACTACTATAAAAATAAATAAATAAATCAGGCATCTTAGAAGTTACATTTTCAATGATCATTCCTTCAAGTTCAACACACATTCCTGCTGATTTTCAGTGTGGGTATCAGCCTACCATTCACTGCAGTCCTATGCAAACTGTTTAACTCAAAAGGGCTTCAAAATACATCTCGTGTTACCTCAAAATGCAATTCTTTCATACAAGGAATGCTGCACTGTACAGATACACATGTGCAAGTATCCTCAATTACTCCTGATATGAAATTCATGGCATTTTGGAATTATGTATTTCTTTAGGGAGTTTGAGATTTAAGGAAATGTCTGAAAAGGATCCTGTCTCCTACACCAAGCTGGAGACAATTCACGGAGAACTCCCATGAATCTTTACAGAATCACAGAATGGCCAGGGTAGGAGGGGACCTCAAGGATCATGAATCTCCAACTGCTCTGCCACATTCAGGGCCACCAACCTCCACATTTAATACTAGACCAGGCTGCCCAGGGCCCCATCCAACCTGGCCTTGAACACCTCTAGGGATGGGGCAATCACAACCTCTCTGGGCAGCCTGTGCCAGCACCTCACCATTCTCTCTGTAAAGAACTGAATCTTAAGGTTGTTAAGAGGATTCAACTGCAAACTAAGCAATCAGAGGAATGCTGCAGACAAAGCTATCAGAGAAACACCTTATATCCCCTTTGGAAGGGAGCCACAAGAACCACTGAGTCCAACCCCGGGCTCCACAAAGCACCACCCAAACCCTACGTCTGAGAGTGCAGCTGTCCAAGCGCTCCTTGAACTCACCCCGGGGCACTGCCCACTGCCCTGGACATACACCCATTTCTGCTCTTCCTTAGCGACGCTCTCACTAGCTATAAGGAAAGATATGGCACTAGAAAATAATAAACGAGAAACTGCGTACGAAGTCCTAAGAAAAAAGCAAAACCACAAAGGTAACGAATCGCTTCCCTTCAGGCAGCGTTTGCAACGGAAAGAGCGAGACCTCACGGCGAGCCGCCCGCGGGGCCGCAGCGGGCTGTTGACAGGAAGGGAGTCGCCGGAGGGGCGGGCAGGCCGCACGCTCCGCCCTCCCGCTCTCCGGGCCCGGGCCTGGCGCGGGGCCCCCGCCGCAGGGGAAGGGAGGGGCCGCGGCGGGCCCGGCGGAGGCGGGCCGCACCTCCGAGGCGGCTCGGCCCCGGGGCGGCCGGGCGTTCCGGCGGCCCGAACGAAGCGAGGAGCGCGGCCCCCCGGGCCCACCCCGCGCGCGGCCGCCCGCCCCTCCGCCGCCTTAGCAGGGCCTCCGCGAGGCCGCGGCCCGCCGGCGGCGATTGGCCGGAGCGCTCTTCGCCGGGCAGGCCGCGGAGGGGGTGTGTCCCGCTCGGCGCCGGCCCCGGGGCCGCCGATCCCTTACCTGGCGCCCGCCCCCCCCGGGCCTGGCAGGAGGCGCCTCCGCGGTGCGGCGGGTCCCGGCCCCGAGCGCGGTGCTCCTCAGCCGCGGGAACGACCGCCCTGAGCGACGGTTAGGGCCGCGCGACGGTCCGGCCCCCCGGACCCGCCCCTTCCCGGCGCCAAGCGCGCCGATTGGCCGAGAGGGGCCGTTTGAATCGCTGCCGGCCCCACGCCATTGGCTGCCGGGCGATGGCGCGGTCCTCGCGCCCGGCGCCGTGCCGCTGACGAGAAGCCCGCCCCCTGACGGCGGCCGATAACGGGCAGGAAGAGCGGGGATGCGGGGCCGCGGCCGCCATGGCGGTGCGGGGCGCGCCTCAGCCCGCCTCCTCCGCGCGGGGCCGGGCGCCGTCTGTAAACAAGGAGGGCCTGGGCGGCGGGAGCGCCCCGCTGAGGCGGGGACTGTGGGAGTTTAACTGTGGAATAACCGCCCCGTGCGCGGCGTTCGGATCTCGGGAAAATGCCCAGCCTTAATGATAAACTGCCCGCGCTTTTATTTCCGTACCGACTTTAAAGGCCCTCCGCGTTGTCTGTGTTGTGACGCAGGCTGACAAGGCCTGAAAAAAAAGGCATCTAAGCGAGGTTAAAGTCCCAGTAAAAACAGAGGCAGGTTAAAGCGCAGAGCTAAACAAGAGTTTGTTCTGCAGCTGTGCGAACGCATCAGCCTTTATCAGGGAGATAGGTAACAATTTGCTGTAGGTGAGAATGCAACTGAAGCTTCATTTCTGGCTGCAAATAATGAATGGTTTTGGCTCCAGCTAACTTTCAGTTGGTTTATTATTGCACAGTTTACAATTGTAACATTAAGAACTGTTTTCAGTAAACGTCTTAATTGCAGCAGCTAATGCCTGGAACGAGTCTGCTTTATTCTGTTGGCACAGGCCTACAATTAATATGCTTAAATATGAAGGTTTTCAGCCGTGATCTCATCTGGAGAACAAACATTCTCTCTGAGTAGTGGTTTTCTTTTGGAATTGTTTATTGAGCCTGGATGAGAGAGCAGTTGGGCCGTTAAGAACTGTTTATTATCAACAGGTTCGCTGGCAGGGTTGAAACATGGATATATATGGATTGAACCATCTCAGATCAGCTGTTAAATGGAACAATTATGAAAACAGTTAGACCATCATCATCAAAATACCACCTCTGCACTGCTAGAAGTTTTCTATGTCTCTACAAAGAACTCAGAAGCAGAGAAATTTGTACATCGACACAAAGCGTCTTGATCTCACAGTATAAAACTGAATAAAGGGTTCTCCAGCTTTTCATCTTAACAATAAACATTAAGCACTGCAGTATCTCATCTACCTGAAAACACCAAGACAACTCTGTTCCCTTCAGTTTTTATTCCTTTGAAACTTCAACCTTTTGATTTCACTAAGAAACACAGGAGGGATCTGAGAGGTTGCTGCTGCTGCTGGAGAATGTCCCATGGAGGGTATCTGCCACCTTTTCTTCTCCTGAGTGTCATCCCTAAAACGTTCCTCAACTGGAGGAGGGAAGAGGAATGGGGAATTTGAGATTATTTGCAGGAGTGAAATCTAAATTAACTTTGACTATCAACTATGAAGGCCTCCATATACTATGCTTACATGATTTTACTTACGTATGTAGTCCTGGGAAGTTGAGATACAGCAGCTGGTTTTGGTCAAATAGGGGACCTGTGTCCAAATAGTGACTCCAAGACTGGAATTTAGTATCTCAGCTGTTGTATTTTCTTTAATTCTGTAATTTAATCTATCAAAAGATTTAAGTCTGGAGATATTAACAGATGTTAATACAAGACTCACAACTCCAACTTGGTGCCCATTTGAATTTCCTGAATTATTAATCAGGTTATTGCTGCCTGTAATATTCTTAATTATTGATATTACTGCATGTGCTGATAATCAAGCTTAATACCTCTGGAAGCTCCTAAATGTATCTATTCTGAATGCTGTATGAAAACTCAAGTCCTACAGTAGAGGCTTTGAGTTAATCAAGTCTGTGGAACTAAATTCAGGTAGTATCCAAACCTGTCTGCTTTATTTAATGATCTGTAAACACTTCCTGAAACAGTTTTGCTACAAATCCTTTGGCCTTTATTTTTCATTGCTACATAATAGTGTTTACATATAAAATGCCTATCTTGCATTTTTGCATCTTGCACACACAAAAAAAGTGTCTGGCTTACAAAATAAATCCTACCTCCTGAGCATGCTTATCCAAATTCAACGAGTAGAGAATTAACAAAACTTTTAAAATACAGGTTCTAAAATACAGACCTTCTATCTTGTTGCCAGCCTAAGCAGGTTGAGAAACATTACGATAAATGCTGTCAGCAGAGGCTTCGGAGGTGGGTGGGGTAATTTGCTTCTATTTCCTCTCTTGATTAGCAGTTTGCTTCTGTGGAGGAAAACATTCATAACACTCTTGTATTATTAAAAAACCCACCTTACTATAAAAACTATGCATTTAATAGAAATACTATAAATACTATGCATTTATAGAAAAATATGTACTGTATACATAAATGTTTATATTCATATATATACATACACGCACTATATATATGTGCATATATTATATAGACTATAGAAGTCATCTACTTGCTATGTTTTTTCTCTTTCTCTAGCAGTATATATGACCAAAGCATCCCAGCTTGTTCTTGTGAGAAGATCTCTGCTGTTTGCAGTAGAGGAGGAGATGTCCCTGATGACTGCCGCCTTCACAACATGCATCAGAGAGCTGAACATTGTGCACTGTATGTTTTGGAAAAAAAATAAAAATAAAAAAGAAAGACTCTGTTCTGTGCATTGCCAAAAAAATTAAACATCTCTGCACCTCAAACTGCTGTTGAAAGACTAAGGTCAATCCATTTTTTTAAAGCTTTTGTGAAAATTGAGGAATGTGAATGTGCACAGGCACTTTGGGTTTGTTTTGATCAGTTTATGTATCAGTCATTGTGGAAGAAGTTTCTCATTATATATTAATTCATAGTACATCAAATTTGAATTTAAAGCCATGCAGAGGAAGTGCACACTAACAAACGGTACAGATGGGAATAAATTAAGCTGAGCATTTGCATTCTGGGAAGTTTTGCAAAATGTTTATCTATAGAAACAGCTTTTAGAACGTGTTCAAAACTATCTGCAAGTGCTCAGCAGTGAGGAGAGGAATACAGGTACATGCATACCAACAGCAGTTCTCTAAAGAGAAGCAGAAAAAAAGCACACTGAAACTTTGATCTCAAGAACTTCCTTTCTGTATTGTCGGTGAATTTATAAATAAGGTTCATTATTGAAGGGAAGTTGATGCAATTCTCGAAGCTGTGAGGTAAGAGTTTTGGCTACCGTGCCTTCTGTTGAACTGCTTACCTTCCCATTTTCACAGCGTGACTGTTAAATTACTCCAGCAGTAAGCCCTTGAAACTGTCCATTTCTGAAGGATTGCAAAAAAACACATACTGCAGTATTTCCCAGTATTTGTAAGGCACATCAGAGTTGTGTGCATGAAGAGTTGTAAACGTTTAAGCAGAATGTGGTTTTAATTCTAGAATAAAGTAGAAAACTTAGTTACTTAAAGATATTCTTAAGTGCACTCTTGGGTTCCAAGACTCACAAGCAGATTCACAGAAGGCTTCTGGCATTTTAATCCACACCCCCCTAGTTTTCAGTAAGGCATCACGGGGCAGAAAGCAACTAGGACGTGAGTTGATGGCCTCAAGCTGCACCAGGGCACGTCCTGGTTGGATATTAGGGAACATTTCTTCACAGAAAGAGTGGTGACACACTGGCACAGGCTGCCCAGGGAAGTGGTGGAGGCACCATCCATGGAGGTGTTCAGTAACTGTGGATGTGGCACTGAGGAATGTGGGTTAGTGGGCAGGAGTTGACAGTTGGACTCAGTGATCTTAGGGGTCTTTTCCAGCCTCAATTATTCTGTGACTTCAGCAGATGCTGTAGTGACAGAAGTGACTTTCCTCTGGTTCTTGTGGGACAACCTGTACTGGAGGAAGGGAGAAATTTGGCCTTGGTCCCCAGTTATAGACCTTAATCATGTTACATCCCCAAATCATTAAGGCCCTGCTGGTAACAAGCTAACAAATAGAGTGACAGTCTGCAAAGCTGCTTGTGCTGAGCCACGCAGGGCTGCAGACCAAGTCAGGCCAAGCAACAGAGACATTACACTCAGTGACAGTTTTCAAAGTAATGTAAAAAATAGGTTTTTATGTTTTTAATATAATTTAAAAAGAGAAAGCATTCTACTTCTGAAGAGAAATACTGGAGCAGAATATTTGACCACAGACACCAAACAACTGGTTCTATTTAACATGGTGCTGGTATTCAGTCTCTTTTCTATGGTGCTCCTACTTTCCTCATGCCTCTCGTCGTCTTATTCCAGTAAAACAACCAAACAAAATCCAATCACTGCAACATGGAGGCCAAGCCAGAGACAATAAGCGAAGAAGTCAGCCTGGCGTATGTCACGGAAGGTGAGCTCACACACCTTGGCTTTATGAGCTGCTATTGCTGCATATCTGCTCTCAGTTAAATTGACTTCTTCGATTTAAACCTGTTCAACTAGTCCTGTGTGTTACTTTGTAAAATACAGTGATTTAATCTTAATTACCTTTAAACTTCAACAGCTATGTTTCTACTAACATGTTAGCATTTATACATGTACATAGGTTTTCCATTGTGTATTTAATCAAGACGAAGTGTTTAAAGAGAAATGCTGGCAAGAAGCAAACAGAAGAAAATATATGGGAGATTCATTCAAACGTGGCCACCCAAACTGTAAACCCCACATATGACACCTGGGCTCACTTCACATTGTTCTGGTGTCTGCCATTGAAACTGCCCTAACCAGCTGGACAAAAACTGTTTCTAAAAACCAAGCTGGCATAGCACGCATAACATCATGCAGCTGTAAGAAGCTATATTTAATAAATATTAGAGCCGAGCTCAGTGCATGTAGGTCATCCTTCCCATACTCTTTTCAGTGCTCAACTTCTAAGATCGTTATAAAAATAACCACAGAAAGTTAGTTTCATTAGGAACAATTTCAGTAAATGAATCAGAACCCTTCAGGGCTTGCCTACCCCTCCCTTGTTTTCATAAATCTTTCTTACTTTCCTTCCTTACCCTTTAAAGACTATATCTGTCCTACTGCCATCACTTTCTATGGGGACTTTTATAACAGAATTCCCAGCTCTGGCTAAGTGAGTGTTGAGCAAATAACCTCTGGGACAGAAGTGATGAAATAACACGATAAGTTTCAGTGAAACTTGGAAAGAAGTAAGAGCTGATGATACTTGCAGACTTCACTTGCAGTCTTCTCGTTTTTTCTGTTTATTTTTCTCTCTCTCCCTCCCCATTCCTTCCCAGTTCTCCCAGTTGCAAGGCAAGCTGAGCCAAGCCCAAAATGTGACCTCCAGAGGCAGAGCTACTGCCACACTTCTCTTTTAAACAAAGGAGACAGGATAGTTAGGCTGCTCTCCAGCCCAAGCTGTTCTAAACAGTGAATTCATAATTAGCTCTGGCATTTGGTAGACTGTTACTTTTCAGACACTTCTTCTTTATGCTAAACATTAAAAGCAGAACCATCCCTGACTGTTAGTGCAGCAGCCACTTGTACCCACCATGGATGTATATGTAATGTTCATGTTTCCAAGAGCAGCCCCAGGCATTTCCAAGCTCTCCAGTAGAAAATTTCTGTTACTATGTAAACCCACGCAATGCTTATTTGTTCTGGGCTGCTTAATCACATACACACAAAGGGAAACTACACTTTTTCTCTAAGATAGCAGTGTGCAGACATCAGCACGCTGGCTCGGTGTCCTGGGGGTTGTTCAGCCCACAGATACTTCCCCCCAGCCCACACTGAACTGTGCAGTCTCAGGGAGCTTTGATGAGGATTGAAGGGCCAGAAGGAAATACAGCGTCAAATGCAAAACCAAACAAATAAACAACAACAACTAACACTTTCTCTGTGTGAAATCCAGGCTCCTCCCCAGCCTTAGTGGTGGAGCAGGGGCGAGCCAGCATTTTGCTGGTCACAGAGAGTGCAAATCTGACCCGAAAGCACCCTCCTCTGCCTGCACACAAAGCTGCTTCCTGCTCGGACATGCTTTGCATTGTTGCCAGCAGTCAATATGACTCCATTTAGTTTTCTTTCCCTTCAGAATGGCTCTTGTAAGCTGTCCGGAACAGATGCTGCCCATCCAGCACCTGCCTGGGCTGGAGGACCCACAGATCTCAGCAGGGCATCTGATTACCTTCCTTCTATCCTCCTTTTCCATCAGCCATTTACAAAAGCATTACCTGGACACCTCTCCCCAAGTTACGACCACCACTGAGCCATCCTCTTGGTGAAGATGCAAAATGGCAGCTTGGACTCTTCAGCCTCCCAGATGGAATAGCAGGGCAGCTGCCTTTGGCCAAAAAAGCCATATAGCTGTTGGGCCAGGCTGAACTGACACGAGATTATCACTGAATCCTTCAGCCTTGCTTCAAAGCTGGGGTTTTAAAGCATTTCCTCATTTGGAGTAGAAATTTTTTTTTTTTTTTTTTTTCTCTGTGCAAACTCAGTGCCCTGACTCAATAACACATCTTTAAACTAGCTATTGTTGCTTCACAAACACTTGGGGTGGGGGGTAGGGTGCAGCTGCAGAAACTTCCCCCTCAGGGTATCCAGAAACACGGCATTCAGGGCACCGAGGCCGATATCGAACCACCCTCACTGCAGTCTCACCTTCCTTCCCCCTTCATCTCACAAACATCTATTTCATGAATGCACGATGCATGGAGAGGCTTCTTGTATCACTTCAAAAAGAAAACCTCCGGGAAATATCTCTCTCTCAGTGCTTTCTTTTCTACATACCAACTTTTATATCAACAAACTGCATGGGTCATGAGCTGTAAGCTTGGCCAATCCACTGCTGATTTTGTTCTCATTTGAAATCAAGTTTTGCTTTCAAGTTCAAGACGAGTTGATTTTGTCTTCCTGCACACAGCTGCCAGCAGCTTCATGACCTTTCTCAAGTGCTGCAAGTTTCCTGTGAGAATTTCCTCTTCTTGAACTACAGAGAGCCTCCCAGCATGCCTTTCTTATCGTCCAGGTTTTCTATTTAAACTTTTACAAGTTTAAGACCAAAAAAAAAAAAAAAAAAGCAAAATCGTCATTTGTTTGGCCTCGTTGTATGATGAGGAACAGGAGCTCTGCTTTGGGTTTGCTTTTCTCCTCAGTTCCGGTGCTGAGATGAGAATAAGCAAAAGTGATTTCCAGCAACCTTCATTTGAGAGTCCTTTTTGTCTTTGTGGATTTCAGCATATTTACCCTATTTCTTCCATGTGTTTTTATTATTAGCACACATGCAAATATCAGAGAGAAGAACAGCAGTAGCAAGGTGCATGAAGATAGACAAGATAGCATAGCTCCCAAAGGTCCAGAGGAGCTGAGTCATAAACCATAGCAAAGTCTTACCTGGCTTGGTAGTTGGCAAACGGTGCCAAGCAAATTAGTGATTTTGGCAATAATTATCTATAAACATCTTGTGTTTATAAACATGAGG